TTTTCACCTGTGTTTTTTTTCTAATATAAATTTATAGCAGTTGATGAAGGTTTATCAATTTTAGATAAAACTAAATAATAAAGGCTCTGTTACATAACTTGAATCTCAGATTACTTCCATTTTATGAACCAAGAAAACCTTCCAAGGAAGAGTAAGTACATGTTAAAAAGGAAATAAATTCTTGACAAAAAAAAAAAATTCCACAAAGAAACACACTGTCAAAAGATAAAACAGCTTCATAAGACAAAATCTTGCAAAGTCAGCAGATATCAAATTCCTTATCTCCCCTTCTTCCCCTTATTCACTGGGGCCCCAGCAGCACCAATCCCCAGGTTTGATTCAACACCTAGGTGCTGGAAGAGAAGAAATCAGAAGAAGCATGGCTCAGCATCTCTCCTACCTCAGAATTCAGCTACTGGGGTCTGAGTTTTCTAGTAGCTCAGCAAATGGTTTAGCGCTATCCAGCCATTTCTCACGTGGCTGGTTTTGGAAGATCAACTTGTAACTTGGTATCATGCCTAAGTAAGCCAGTAACTGAATTACCTCTTTTTAATCCTAATACCTGCTGTTGAAATATCAGCTGGTAATCTGTTATCTCTTTTTTGGAAAATCCCTTGAGCCTTAGGTTAAGGATGTCTGATTATCAAATCTATGCCTACATCTCCAATATGCATCTTTGGGCACATTTTCCTTTGAATTTGAATCTAAAATGACTCTTCTTCCCCAAAGAAGCCAAGTGTATTCGCCTCAAAAACACTATTTAGTTACTCTGATATTGTCCCTGTAAAATGTAACACCATTTGAATCCATTTCTTTTCCCTACCTTTCCTCCCAAAAATTAAGTCAATGAGTTACATCATTAGAGATTTCACACTAGCCTGAGTGTTCCCTTTTCTATTGTAACCAATCCACAAAATGTGTCATTTATTACACCTCTCACCTGAGCAGTTGACATCTATAGAGTATCAGTCATCAAGGTATAAATTAATTTTAAGAACATGACTTCATAGAGTTAAGGTACATAAGAATCACATGTAAACATGTGTGCCATTTTATCTTAAGTATTTCACAGTTCTGTATCATTCTTGATTTCTCATATGTAAGTGGTATATATATATGAAAATGTAGAAACTTGTTCTTATAAATATTTATTTTTTTAAGATTTATTTTTATTGGAAAGGTAGATATACAGAGAGTAGGAAAGACAGAGAGGAAGATCATTTGCCCTATGATTTACCTCCCAAGTGACCACAATGGCCAGAGTTGATCTGAAGTTAGGAGCCAGGAGGTTCCTCCAGATCTCCCATGCGGTTGCAGGGTCCCAAGGCTTTGGGCCATCCTTGACTGCTTTCTCAAGCCACAAGCAGGGAGCTGGATGGGAAATGAGGCTGCTAGGATCAGAACCGGTGCTTCAGGGGTGAGGACATTAGCCACTAGGCTACCGTGTTGGGTTCTATAAATATTTATCCTATTGACTCTGGAGATAATAAGCGTAGGCATAGGGTATTCAACATTATGAGAATTTTCAAGGTAAATGATTTTTAAACAAATCATAGAAATTTCTTGTATATAATTTTCAAGATCAATATTTGTCCATACTTAATCCACAAGGGTATGAAGAATAAAATATGCCCAAATTTTAAAGAAATAATCTTATTTTTAAATGTGAGCTTTACTGATATGAAAACTTTTGTTGAAACATAAACTCAGTTCTTTCAACTTTTTACCTGCTTCATTCTTTGAAAAATAAGTATCAAAACTTTCAAGGAAAAAAAAAAGCAACGTAAGTTGAGCCAGATACACAATTGTAAGGATGAATTATTTAATTTAAATGCAGCCAGCCATTAGAAATATGGGTATAGATAACAAATGATGTAATCTACTCATTTTTTCTAATATATCTCTACGTCTTATGTTAGCAAAACATGTTTAATCACTCATTTACCTAATTGAACAAATCCAACCTCACTTATTTGAATAACGATCTTGCAAGGAAATTCTGCAAGAGACAATTTTATATTGGTACACAAAAATGGCAAAAGCAAACCCTCCATGAAAAATAATGCACAAAGAGCAATTTGACAACTAACAAAACATGACAACACGCTGCTTCCCCAATTTAAAAATTCAGACTATTAAAATCCTCAATTTAGAGAATCAAGTTATCAAAAACACAATTAGGAAATTAAGTGGAAAAAATCCTCTACCTTGCTTTACTTCTTTAATTTATTATTTTGCCTCCGATGGCATAAATATGCCCAATTCCAAACCAGAATTAAAGCTATGTTAATGTGATTGTTCCCTATCATTCATTATGAAGTGAATACTAATTATTTACTCTTTAGTAGAAACGAATTTATGGGATTAAGAAAACTCAAAAGAAAAAAAGGTGATACGTATATATTAGGGAACTTTAAAAAGTTAGTGGAAATGCAATTATCATTAAATTTGATTTTTCTATGAACTCTTTGATATTCGCTAGTACAGTTAAATCTGACAGATTAGCTGTGCTGTCATCCAGAGAGTATTTTTTTTTAAGAAATTCTTCAATAAATGGAACGGTTAAGTATGTTCAAGTACCAATAAGCATAATGGTTTGGGGATATTTCTTCCTGGAGCATGAACACAATTCTAGGGAGGTCTGGGAGTGAAGGTGGGCAGACTTTGCCCTAGCAGTTAAGATGACTGCTAGGAGTGTCCTCTGACTTCAGCTTTTCCTAATGTACCCTGAGAGGCAGCCAGAGATGGTCCATGTGAGTGGTATACCCTGCTACCCATGTAGGAAACGTAGAAGGAATCCCCAGTTCCTAATTTCCACCTGACCGAGCACTGGATGCCGCAGGCATCTGAGGAATGAACCTAAGGCTGGGTGCTAGTGCACTCTTTCTCTCTCTGTCAAATAAATTGCACACACATAAAAGATCATTCCCTGAAGACTCTAGATAACTTGCTTTTGTAAACATTTGCACTCTTGTCAGATATTTATTACCATCTGATAAAATAAAATTATCTATGAGTAAGAATCCTGGCACAAATTTCAAACAAAAATAGAGAGAAAACTGAGTATTTTCTAAACTAGAGAAATATTGTGATGAATAAATACTTTTGATGGTGGCCTCTTAATTTTTTGATTCAAAACAAGATACACACATGATGACAGAACTGCTTCTGAACTTGACTGGGTTTTTAAGCAGAAAGTGTACAGTTAGCTGTTTGGATGAGAGGATTTTAACTGAAACAGAAGACTGGTCCTTGGCTCACACACAGTGGTTGCTGAACTTTTCAGGGCATCTTTTTGAATGTAAAAGGTGTGTTTCCTTTGGAAATGAACACTGGTAGATGATGAATGAAGTAGCCAGAATGTGGAGCGTGAGGCAGGAGGTGTCTGACCTTCCTTCAGCCCCTCAGTTACCCGTCTGAAAATTCTCTGTATCAAACACCATCTGAACATTCACTAGGAAAACTAGTGTGGCTTTAATGGTGTTAAATTCCAAGTCTCATGACTCTGCCTATTTTTCAACACTGTGGAACAAAGGAGATTCTAACACCCTTATTTTACAGTATCTTTCAGGTATAAGTTTAATTAAAAAAAAAATTTCAGGTCCGAGCGCGGTAGCCTAGTGGCTAACTAAAGTCCTTGCCTTATATGTGTCGGGAACCCATATGGATGCCAGTTCTAATCCCAGATGCTCCATTTCCCTCTCAGCAACCTGCTTGTGGCCTGGGAAAGCAATGGAGGATGGCCCAAAGCCTAGGGACCCTGCACCCACATGGGAGACCTGGAGGAACTTCCTAGTTCCTGACTTCAGATCAGCTCAGCTCGGGCTGTTTCGGCCACTTGGATAGTGAACCAACAGATGGAAGATCTTTCTGTTTCTCCTCTTCTCTGTAAATCCAGTGTTTCAATAATAAATAAATAAATAATTGTTAAAAATGTTTGTCAAAATACACATCACATACTTTTTGCCTCAAGTTATACTTCAAACCAAAGTATTTAGAAAAAGATATAAACTGAAAAGTAATGAATGAAAAAAAAAATAAGTTCCTAAAACAATCAGGACTTCAAAGCACTAAAAACCACTACAATAGCATACTTGTATTTTAATTTGACATCAGAAAATTTGAGAAACTGTTTTTATAGGTATAAAAATGTGGATGGTAACACATATCTGGTCTCAGTATGTGAAACTGCATATGCATATGTTGGTATATGTGTTGATCTGTGAAATTATTTTGAAAGCGTGACCTTTCAAAATATCTCAGAACTTTAAGAGGGAAAAAATTGTAGGAATATAAATAAGCCACATTTTTACCTTAATTAAATACTTTTGAGCAATAATTTTCCTTTGACATTTTTTGTAACCATGCATTTGAATCAGATACAAAGTGGTTTCCACCTACCAGTGAAGCAGTGGGCCAGTCTCAGAATGAGTAATTAAAATAGAGCCCTTAAAAAATTACTTTTCTTGACACATGCCAGTTCTTCAGAGTAGCTAAATCAAGTCAAAGTTTGAATTTAATGTTCAGTTTCCAAATGTCAAGTCTCTCTCTAGAAAATCAACATGTATGAGTGAATAAGGAGTATTTTTAAACAGAAAGTGGAATAAGAACTTTGTAATAACATAACAACACAAAGTGAGGCTCTACTTGTTGCCAGTCTCCAGCCCAAGGAGAAAAAAATAGATATCCATAGATTTCTAGAAATTAGTAACCAAACACAGCACTGTATCAGAATGAGTGCCAAGCATGGGATCTATGGTGAGAAGACTTCAATGAGATGCAAAAGTGTCTTACTAGGAGCCACTTGATGTTGGGGACTAAATCAATCTGCACCATAGTACAAGCTATTTCTTACAAATTTTGGAAAATAACATCTATAGTATAGTGTCGACTTCAGATGTATAACCTTTTTAGAAAGTCTATAAATATATAATGCTTTCACTGTTTACTATATACATTCTCATTATACTTATTGATATGAATAATGTGTAATTCCTTACCAAGTATGAATTCTAACTGTGGTTCATTTGGAGTCTTCTGGATACCTATAGATAACAGGTGCAAATTAAAAAGAAAAACTCATTACCAAGAATATGTCAATATTTTTACTATATTTCACTAAAATTTGGTCAATAAAGCTTAAAAGTAACTAATTCTCAGTGGAAGGCATAATATCTCTAGCAGAACTAAACAGATATTGTTAAAGATTTCGTTACTTTACTTAGCTCTATAATCATAAGGAAAGTGAGAAATATTTTTCATAAGCCATAACAAATACAAAACATATTTCTTCATTGTATTGATTTCTTTTGGATGCAGATAGACATACTAAGACTTCAAAAACAACCACCTCACCAAATGCTGTTCTCAAAGGGCCCTCCTTTCAAGATCGCTCTGATCTGCCATGAATAATAAATCATGAACTAAATGGATTAGTTGGGTTATGGTTGAAATCATATGGTGTTGAATATGCTGTGAACTTATTCACAGGTCAAAATAACATCCTATTATGCATTTCCTTTCTTAGAAACAACAACACAGATAAACAACACAGATAAACAAGGTCAATTTGGGTGGAAACCAATCTGAGAACATGAAAATGGGAACACCGAATGGTTAGAAGGTCCAGTGATTTGGTTAAAATAATTGATTATGTGGTAGAGGGCAGTCTGAAGACCACATATGGGCTGGGGTAAAAGCTTTTCTCAAACGAAGTAATGAGGACGGGGTGTATGCATGAGATGTTCTTTGTGACAGCTCAGCATGAGCTAAAGAGGTATGGTAAAGTAAGCCACTTGTCAATAACTGTAAGAATATTATAAAAATCCTTGCCTTGTTTTTCTTTCCTTGTGCATTGATCAGATGTCAGGTAAATTACTGTCCTTTGGTCACTTAAACATTGCAAAGCCATATATTTGTATGAAATAATCATTTTTATTCTCAGAGTTTAATTTTTTTTTAATCCAAGATAACTGTTTTCTCCCTCCTGCTGACATTTAACAATGCTGAGGTTAACAATTTCAGACTTTCAAGAGCAGTTAGAGTGACAGTCATTAGGTAGGTTTTTGTGAACTTCAAAGAGTCTGAATTCTTTAAAAGGTTATTTAACAATTAACTCTGCTGTAAGCCCTGACAAAAACATTTCTCAAACATTCACCCATCCAATACTATTTTCAAAAAATTATTTTTGTAACATAAATCAAACAAGGAGGTTAGGCACATAGTTACCAGTGCTAAATAATTGGGCCGCAAGAATCTCTTGAAAAGACACAACTCATACTAAACAATAAAATCTGTACCCTGGAATTTTAAACGTCTTCCAATGTTTTTAATTACTTAAATGGCATAAAAACCAATTATAATGTGCAAATGTAAGTCTCAGCCAAATCTCCAATCCTTTTCTAATTATGTGACTTAGTGCTCTCAGGTACAACAGGAAGTCTATGATTGCAATCCAGTAATTTTTTCCTAGTGCTTTCAGATCAAGTGCTTTTGGTTTCAAAAATGTCTATGTTCCAAAAAACACTTGCACATTAATATCTGTAAATTTCAAATAGAAGACATTTAAAAAAAATTTAATAGTGGCCAGGGCATGTGTTTAGAAGGAATTTATTAGTATGTTAGTACATATTAAAGAACCTTGATTCTACTATTTGATATTTCACTTTTGATGGACCATCGCCTATCTTACCATTTGATATTTCACTTTTGATGGACCATCGCCTATCTTACTATATAGGAAACATCTCTTGTACACTCAACATCAAAAAGAGAAGTACAGATTCAGCACTCTTACGTATGTCATCTGTTAGAACCCAAGGTCTATGAATACACATGTATTTACTTAATGATTCCATCCACTCAGTTTGCATCTTCAGAGAACTACAAAAGAGGGGCACACATGCTTACTGGTGAACTGGGGGTTTGCAGGATCATTTGCCTGGGCTGTGGGAAGAAAGTGCTGGCCTTCTTCTGATGTTCCTTCTTCTTTGATTTCCATGATGGAATTTCACAAATGTTTAATTTTTCCAAGATTTGCTTTCCAAATATTACTGACCAGTGATTCCGGGTTTAATGCAGATGTATCTTCACATTAGAGGCCTCTTGTTCAACTCTGAAATTCTGCACTTAGGAAACATTAAGAATGACGCTATCAGTTACTTTGAAGTTTATACAAGGTTAAGAATAATCTTCAAATTTTCTTAAAATAACCCCCCAGCCTATCCCACACATGCTTTCAGCGACACTTTGCAAGGTTACAGAACCATGACTCCTGGGTTAAATAGGTATTCTCAAAACAGTAACAGTAACTGCATGCTCACTAAGGCACTTGTAAAACCAAAGGCACATTTTCTTCAATTCTCTGAAAGAGCAGATAGTTGCAGGGGCTGCTTTTTTCACTATGCACCTACTTTAGCAAGAGCGACAAATAGTATCATGTCTAAGTATTCATCTGTTTAGCCAAGGTGAATATTACCATGTCGTTTTAAATCAAGTTACCAATGGAATTAAAATTCATACAATGTCTAGTGATTGCTTTTTAATTATATAGCAACAGCCAAGTTACGTTTGGAATACCGATATGGTCTCAAACTTCACAAATCACCAAATTCACTTTCTGTTGTACTTAACAAAGCAGCTTCATTTATAATTCAACTCTTGATTTAAAAACTAATTTGGCAAAAATGAATACAGAAAGTAAAGGGCCATTACACCAACAATTAGACCAAATCCATTGGTTTTGAAACTATTTCAAGAAAACTCTACCTAATTTATTTTAGCATTAACTTTAGATGTCTTTCTGATGAGGATGAACATATTCATTGCATCATGCTTTCTCAAAGATTTAAGACAAATTGCTAACAGTAAGGTAATATCTATAGCGAACTGCAATCAATGCCTGTATGAACTGGCTCTTAAGATTTTAAATGTTACCAAATTGTGTGACCAACTCTTTTCAGATCCACCATTTTAAAACTTGAAAAAGAGTGGCAGTGTAATAGAATGGTTTAAAATGTCCCTTGGGACAATGGTTCCTATGTCTGAATGCTTATGTTGGAGCTGTAATTCTGCTTTTGATTTTAGCTTTGTGCTAATGCAGACCCTGGAACATGGCAGGTTTTAGCTCAAGTACTTTGGTTCCTGCTACTCATGAGAGACCTAGATAGAGTTCTTGGTTTCCACTTTTTGCCTGGTCCATGCACGGCTATTGATGGTATTTGAAATATAGACAAGGAAATTAATCTTTGTTTATGTTTGTATATTCCTGATTTTCTAACAAAATACATAAATAAATGTCTCTAAAGAATTAAGAGAATTAAATAAGGATAAATGAATTTAAGAAAAATCACTCAGTACACTGACAATAAATAATATAAATGGCAACTCTGTACTTGGGGATCTGTGTACTTGAGCAAATTAGGGTAAAATAAGAAGACTAACCACAACTGACTAGAATCAGTTACTTAGAACACCTCATTAACAAGCTCCTACATTAAGACTATTACCCATTTAAAACAAGCTCAGTACTTGAAAAATCACTTCAACTACAGACAGGATAGAGCCAACTAAACCAAACTAGGATTGCCTGTCAAACTTCTATGATACTCACTTCAATTCTACTTTAGTTGCATTGGCAACAAACGTCAGATCAAATATTGATTACTAAAGCACATACTTAAAAAAAATTAGTTAAAAAGCTCCCCCAAACAATTGCTTCTCTAACTGGCAAATATAGCATTTGCCTGTGGTTATGGCTAGGTACAACAGTTCCTTTTCTGCATGTATTTGAAAATTTTATGGTTTAGTGACCATAGATAAGAATAGGTTGTGGTTATTGTATACTATAAAAATATTCACTTGTTAAAAAAACAGTCTTTATGGATAGGAGCTACTTGGTCCAGTTCCCATGTCTTTTGTTCTAGTGCAGATCGTAACAAGCCAAATGGTCATAATAATCAGAAAATATTTTTGGTTCTTTCTTCCTTTCTTGAGGGGAGGAGATAATTGGTAAGTATAATCCAGTTACATTAAATTAAGCAGCATTTTTTACTGATCATTACATCAGCAGATACCCATTAGTGCTCTGTGTCTGTTACACTACAAAGGACAAACTAAGAGGCACACAAAATCACACAAAAGGATTATGGTTAACTAGAACAACAAGAGTAACAACACACAGAGAAAACCTGGGGTCATTACATGATGAAGATAAAAAGTACAGTGTGTCCAACATTAGATGCCTCAGTGGAGTATTGTTTGCTCATTATTGAGTGGTATACCAAATAGCACCTTGGTGTCATAAAAGAATATTCTGGTAAGAAACCGCAGGTACATAAGGTAATGTCAAGAGGAATGTCTTTAGCTGATATGGTACCTTTGAAAAAATGATCTTGAAGCCATGCTAGTTTATTTTATGTATTTTTTAAGAGGTGGAGAAAAAGACATAGAGGCAAAGAGAAAGAACCTTCTCGTACTGATTCACTCCCCAAAAGCTCTCAATGGGGTCAAAGTTGTATCAGAGTCAATATCAAGAAGCAAACCAAGGTCTCACACATAGGTATGTGGTAGGAACTCAATTTCTCTAGGTTTTACTTGCTAAAGTGCTTTCTTAATAACATATTTTCTCTTCAGTATCACATAACTCTAGTTCCCATTACATTTTGCATTTTTACAATAAAAACATAAGCAAGAAAGAGGAACTATATTAAAAGGTACAGAAGAGGAAAGAAGGGAAAAGATGAATAGATTCTCTTAGACATTGAATAACCTTTTCTACATCTTAGTAAAAGGGTTGTAATAAAGACCATCATTTTGAAACACTGTTACAAATTATTTAAAATAATATTTTTGTATAGATTCTGAGCATTATTTATCACCATAGATGAACAAATTTCAAAACAGGTTGGAGGAAACAGGAATATTCTAAATGCTTCATTGCTCATTTAATGTATCGTGGGGCTGTGCCTTATTGAGCAAATCCTAAAATTTGCACTATGTGGATTGATGATACTCTCAATGTCATGAGGCTGGGACCAGAAGTAGAGCCAGAGAGATGAGACTGGGGGTCATATGTCTGAAAATTGTGCTACTCTCTAAGATTGGAGATCCCCAAAGGGAAAAGAGGTGATCTACTGGATGGCAGGTGGATTTGCATGTTCCATCATAAATCCAGAAGGAGCCACTTTTCAAGGTGTCCTGTAGCAACATGGACAAGTCTCCTTAGAATTAGATAACATGTGTCACATAAATGGATATAGAAATGATTGCTCAGCTTAATTTTATTTACAAGGAAGGCAAAGTTAAGGAGAAAGACAGGGAGATAAAGAGAGAAAGAAACTTTCTATCTGCTGGTTTACTTCCTCAAATAGCTAAAAGAATCGTGGTTGGTCTTGGTTGAGGCCAGGATTCTCATTCTGGTCTCCCACATGAGTGTTAGGAGTCTAACTACTTGGGTCAACATCTACTGATTTCCCAGGCACATTAGCAGGAGCTGGATTAGAAGCAGGTAAATATAAACCGTATGGGCAGAGGTTGTGGTATTGGCACTACAGGTCAAGAAATACAGAAAATCTGGCCAAAATGCAGTAGGATTTCTACACCGTGTATAGCCATAGGAAAACAGAACAAAACAAAACAAAACAAAAACTGTTTCATTAGAAACCACTCACCAGCCTGAGAGAAGAATGTCTCTGACTGAAAAAACAGCAACTCCATCACCATCGCCATTACCGAAGGACCAATAACACCCACTACAACTTACATTTCAGTTAAACCCTTTATAGAAAACTGATGACACCATCCTAAAAGCAAAAATAGGACTGGCTGACAATGTGTATAGTGGTTAAACTGCTGCCTATGATACCTGCATCCCATGTGGGTGCTGGTTCATGTCCTGGCTGTTCCATTTTTAATCCAGTTCCCTGCTAGTAGCCAAGGAAAAACAGTGGAAGATGGCCCAAGTATTTAGGCCCCCGGTACCTGCATGAGAGAGCTGCATAAAGCTCTTGGCCCCTGGTTTTGGATTGGTAAAGCCCTGGCCAGTCCAACCAATTCAGGAGTGAATCAGCAGCGTAAAGGAGAGTAAACTTTCTATTTCTCCTTCTCTCTGTGCAGCTGGAAATTTTAATAAATCAATAAACCTGTAAAAAAAGAAAAGCAGAAGCGAGGCCAGGACTCAGGAGTAGCAGGTAAAGCCAATCAGCTGCAATGTCAGCACCCAACATGGGTAGTAGGCATAACCCCCACTGCTAATGCAACTGTTAAAGCAACCAAAGATGGCCTATGTACAGGAGATCCAAACGGCAGATCTAGAGAAGACTTCTGGATCCCGACTTTGGCCTGGCCCAGTCATGGCCACTGCTGCCATTTGAGTTGTCACCAGCAAATCAAAGATCTCTCTCTATTCTGTCTGTCTCTTTCCCTCTTGTGTGTTCTCTATGGTAATTCTGAGTTTCAAATAAATATTTTTTTTAAAAAAAAAGGTTAAACAAACAAAATATAGAGTAGCTATGATACATTTCAACAAAAAAGATTTTCCTATTGTGACTTGGGCAGTTTTAACAAGGCAGACTAAATAGTAGAGGATGGAAATGTAAAGCTATATGCATATATTTTTGTTGCACTTTGCTCTTTTCCTCTGTTAGGGCAGACTTACAGACCAAGTTATAAAAGGCAAGAAAAGGAAGTCCTTTTAATGAAGGCGAAACTTACAACAACTCCCAACACAAAGTAAAACAATTTTATTAAGATGACTTTATATGGAGTGTTTAAAACGTCCTAGTAGATGTTTCCCTTTCAAATAGAAAATGAAATGATATCAAAATGTAGAAAGTATTCTATTAAAAACACAAAAGAAGGTAACATAATAGGTATAATAGAAATAAGAGTTTAACCAAAGATAAACAAAACATTTCAGTTTATCTTTGATCTCATTTTCTTTCCTACTAAAAAACACAGGATGTGGATTTGTGGCTGGTTTCATAAGTTACAGATTTTATGAAACTGAGTTATTCATCCAAATCCTAAGGTGTGTTGTAATTTAGATTTTTCCCATATTAACATGAGATTCATATATAAAGTTTAAACATCATATCATCAACAAAGCCCAAATCTGGATTGATTAG